TATCATGAGCTGTGCATGCGCATAAACGTCAACATGGCTTCCTGTGTTATATGAGAGGCTCGGCAGCTGATTCCGGATCCCGGGAAAGCAAAATAGCGTCCGATATGTGTGATTCGTGTTTTGCAACCACGAAATACGTTTGTATTTCTTATGAAATGCCAATATGCAATAAGTGTTCATGTTTTGAAAGCGATGAAGAACAGCCTGGTTGGGTTGCAGGAAGAAGTATAGGATGGCCGAGCGGGGGACTGCGGCACTGCGGAAGAGTCTGATTTCTATATATATTACTGTATGTTAAACTGCTTATAAGCCTTTGCACAATATATTTTCAGAATTGATTCTTTAGATAGTGGATAGTTGATTGTGAAAATATTTCGTCATTTGAATGTCGGGTCTTTAAGATACGAAGGTTTATATTCCCAATATGTTAATATCTAATACCCACCATAAATGTAATACCCACCATAAATGTCATAACAGTCAACCATAAATGTAATAATCAAAACCCACCATAAATGCAATAACCACTCCAACCATAAATGTAATAACCAAATGTTCCGGAGAGTCAAACAAAGTGTTCAATCAACAAACAACTCTAAGCAGCATTGTTTGAGTGTTTCGTCAAAGACAGTGGGTGGAGTCACATACCACGTGATAGCCTGTGTAAAAGGCCGTTTTGGATACGAATGGAAGTGCAAGGAACGGCTGTYAACGCAGGCTTATCACGTGACTGTGGGATTGTTTTGTGACAGAGAGAAAATATGATGTAATAGTCCTAAAATAAATAAATAAGATAATTTTTTAGACTATTATCGAAACTTTGCTCCTGTTGATTCAGGCTATTCACTTGACCGTGGGATTTGTGAGAAAATATTATGCACATCTGTATGATGATGATGGAATGATGATGATGATGATGGTGGTGGTAGTGGTGATGATGATGACGATTGTGATGATGGAGATGATAATGAAGGTGGTGATGGTGATGGTGATGATATGGTCGTGATCTCTTGTGGAGATGTCGATGGCGGTGATAACAAATGTTACATGACGATGATGAAAACGACTGCTAAAGGCGTCTTTACATGCTTTCAGCTCGAAGCCGTTGAGCTGYGCCACTGCTATACTTGCGGTGGTGATAAGCGATGACGTTTTTTTTACAATGATAACTGTAATGATGGCGATAATGACGATAATAATAATTTTTTTACTTATATTTATTAGCTGTTTATCCCTAAATTTTTAGAATTATTATTGCTACA